AGATTATTTTTGGTAATTTATAACCGTTGTTGCTTAAAGGCACTTTTATCTTCAATGGTTACTGATATAACAACACCCTAGAAACAGCAATGCAACAGGCTCCAGTAGACTGCATCTCTGGTTATTTGTGTGTTTATGCTTTCTGTGTTTTGTGCATTTGTGTGTTTGTGTTTGTATGTGGTAGAGCACTGAGGGTAGGGGTGCTCTCACTCATAGAAATGAGCCTTTGTGAGAAGGTTAGCAGATAAACAAAGGGACTGAAAATGTACTATACTGCATGTGAATGTGGAGGCCAAATAACATAGTTTATGAAAAATGACTCTATTTGTTGTTCTCACTGTTCATTGTATGGATCGTAGTGTTACTTCAGGCAGAGCACTGAAGTCACCCTTGATTGACATAATTCATGTGTCAGTATCACATGGCTCGTTCTTTGGCTGTTACCAGATGACTAGTAACGTCTAATTAAAATCATACAGATGTACCGTGTGGGTAATATAACCTGAGACTTCTCATATCTGCTGATGGCAGCAGCAATGCTCCTACCGTTGATTTAACTTTATATTCAATTACAGTATTTGTTTGTTAAAGGGGGATTTATTCTCCCCACATAATCCTTGGTTCTGCTCGGATTCTTCCTTCAAACAACTGAGCCAAATCAATTGCTGGTCAATTCCTTAAAGGACATGTCTCGGACTTAACTGTGCAGTTTGTGTTTGAAGCATGTCATGTTTTCTATTACCTTTGACAAATAATTTTGCAGCTTTGGGCATAGATGATCTGGCCCCTTTAGAGCTCAGCCTAATATTTCCTTTAAAACTCACACATCAAATCGCTGTTTTCCCTGATATCATTAATACCTATTATAACATTATAACATGTGAATACATTTGCAGTTAATATAGATAATAGCCAGCTATTGGTTAATCTATATAGTTTTCTCATTGTGACAGTCAAGTGAACAGTGACATGAATATGTGATCTAATAATACGTACATGTTGCCTTTTTTGCGACTGTCAGGACTAAAGTTGGGTGACTGGGGCCTGTTTCACAAAAGCAATTTTTAAACACTGTCACGCAGGAATCACACACAAACACAATTTTGTGTTTTACAATTATGGCCTTTTGTTTAATTAGTGAAATGTGTCAAAATGAGGAGAAAAATTATCTCATATTGCAAATTGCAGCATGTATGTTGTAAAGTGTGCTGCACTGGGTCCCAGGACTAATGCTGTACATTTCTCTATGTTGTGTGTTAAGTGTGTTGGAAGTAAAGACAATCCATTATAAGGGCACCAGCCATTCATAGAGTTACCATTTTGTATTTTATTCGGCAAAAGAAAAAGATGCACAAAAAAAAGTACAAATCAAATACAGGCTCTGCAGAAACTGCCATGTGTGGCAGAGTCAAACTGGGTAATTTGATTATGTTTGATAAAAGAAATTTTCAGATTTATTTGTCTGAGCCTCAATGTGACTAGATGGATTTCATGTATGTTGTCGGGTGAGTTCGATGTTGTACGTCTCACGTCATCTGATGCATTTGGATACATCAGTGATGTAACCTTAGGCCACACAGTGTTTAGGGTCTTTCAACATTAGACGCATTCACCCATGCCTCCGGGCTAGAATCGACCAGTTCCAAGCTCGTATCCAAGTCTTATCTGTAGTCCATGCATCAGCCTTCATTATTCATGTCCATCCTGAGGCCTTTTTTATAACCTCTGATGGAATGATTGGTAAATAAGGTAAATTCAGAAAACAAATTTTGCTACCTGTCAGAAGAAAATGATCGTGGGTCACAGCAATATTCAAACAACTGACATAAGATGCAAAGATTTTCAAAGTTGTAGTCACAGCTAGATGTACTGTACAGGCATTTATCACTAACTCAAATTTAACAAGACTAAGGACACATTCAGACCAGCTTTAGCTCTGCATGAAAAAACTCAGCCCCCTCATTCATTCGAATTAGGTCAGTCCGGTGACGCAGCAGAGGTGGCAATGCAGGGGGCGGCAATCGTCTTGCAAAAAAGCTGAACCAGGCTCAACTTTTGTCAGACCAATGACCAGACGTCATCTGGCAAGGTGCTGTGGAATACACAAATTGCATTTCTACTGTTTACCATGAGATCATCACAACAAAAGACTATTGCTGGCATGATAATTTTCTATATCATATCCTGTCTCAGAGCATGACAGATGGTAGTGCAGTGTTTTGCTGTCTGATAAGCCTTCAAACTCGTGGATCTATTACTCAATCCGGACTTCCTGAATGGTATTTCATGTCTCACCTGTACCTGAAACATGCTCCCACCAATACAGCCCCTTGCATTGTTTCAACATGCTTCTATTTAGCAGGTATAATTTTTTACCATGTTCAGCATCTTAGTTTAGCATATTAGCATGCTATCATTTGCTGAATAACAAATAGCACAGCTGAGGCTGGTGTCATTAGTTTTACAGGTATCACCACCAAAGTCATTAGAAGTCACCATGAATCTGTAAAAAAGTTCATGGCAATCCAACCCATAGTTGTTGAGATATTTCTGTCCGGATCAAAGAGGCGGACCGACCAACAGACAGGCACCCATTACCATCCCTAGAGATAGCGGTGTTACAGATCTCACTCGACAATTCTCATTCTTCACTTCGGAGCAACTTCACAAAGTGTCATCCACATTGTGACACTGTCAAAATAATTCCAGCCGCGTATTATGTCCTGTCCTGTTCTGACAGACAGACGTAATCAAATCCAATTATACCACTTCTCCCTTTGCTCCCCATTAGCGCTCATCTCCCATTCTCCTCTCAAATTCCCTTCCTGCAACAAAACATTTGAATGACAATGGTATAGTCCTAACACCCGCAACAAGCACAGCACTCATGCACTTCTCCTATGCCTCTCTCACCATCTCTCCTTTCCACACATTCGCCTTTCTGAAATCGATATAAAGGAAAACAAAATGACAGGGTTTCATATCACTGCTGTGATACCCCGAGACTACACAGGGAAATGACTATTTCCACACACAAAAGGCTCCATTACTGCCAGGTGACCTCTTGTCATTGTGTTCCTTAACCTCAGAGGTAGACACCCCAGGATTGGTGCTTCAATGTGTGTGTTAGCAGGTGTGTGTGTATGTGTGCCTCAGCAGTGCAATAGTGTATGTACCAGAGTACCTCAGAAACCTGTTATTAATATCGACTTTTTTTTTTCACACTCTTTTTGCTGTCATGTTTGCAATGACTGTACAGCTGTCTGTTTTTAGCATGAAAGATTCCAGCTTTTTAAAACAAATGTCATATGCATAGCTAATTATATTTTTGTCAATGCGGGCATGATTGCAACCCTTCTCAATCAATGTTTTGTCTTACTGATTAAATAAGGAACTTTATTCTGTAGACTCAAGATGGGATGAGTGTTTTCCAGCTCTGCAATTGTATATAATTTTGCATAATCATCTACTTCTTCAGTGTGTTTACATTACCCATTAACAAGTGCACACCTCCATAGACGCAATGTTTTTTTGGCATGTGTGAGCATGTTTTAGTAGGCACTGAGATTGGCTTGATGTATTGTAATAAGTAGTGTTCCAGGTCGACCTCGTCATAACTTCTCTTGTCCCTTCCTCTTTTACTCCCCCACCACCTCTGCTTTGAGCCCATCGCCCTACTGTTCCACCACATTTAAGTGGATTTATAAAGTGCATTAAGGGGTAACGGCATGGCTTCTGCAGCTATGCCGTAGGCTACACTGTCAGGGCTATGGCGGCTACAGAGATACCATGTGGAGATCATAAGAAGTGTGAATGGTCAGCTTGGGCGACTTCACCCACAATTTTCTGATTCCAGCAGAGAATGTTTGCAATGAAGATGACGTGAAGCTAGTTGAAGAACATTGTCTCCTTTTCAGTAACCCAAGTCCAGCAAAGCCATTTCCACTGCAAGCCTTCTCCTCACCATGAGCATAACTCTCTATTGCAATGAACTGAAGAAAATGAACACAGAAATTATTCAGTCGATGTAATTCCACTTCTAAAAGTACTGAACATATAGTACTGTATATCACAAAAACCCCATTACATGTAGGCTAGTCAGTTGATGCATCCTGGGTGAATCCGGTAGCTATCAGATATCAAAAAAGCTTAAATCAAGAAGCATTCAAGACTGACTGAAATTGATCGATTGTTCAAACCATATCGGAAGACGGTTTGAGAAGCTTTCTGGACAGATTTTAAAAGTTAAAAGACTTAAATGCATCTGTAAGCTGTGGAAATAAACTCCACAGGGTCTGTCCCCTATAATAACAACAACGTAAAAGACATGAAAATTACACTGATATTAGCAGTTGTTCTTCCTGTCTCGCCACAGCAACACGAAAAAGCGGCTCCAGCAATTTCAGCACATGCAATCAAACAGAAAGCCAGTGCGTTTGTCTGATTCTATCTTGAAATGATAAGTGTAAATAGGGCCAAAGTATGTCATTAAAGCACAATACAGCCTGATCATGTACTAAACATCTGTCTAGTGTTGCAGGGATTCTAGGTGAATCATGACACTGACTCATACATAAAAACCTTGTCCGTAGATATCTACAGTGGGACTGCCGACAAAGTATAAACCCAGCTTTCTCCAGAACCACATCCTTTTTCATCACTTCCTCTCTCCCTCTGCCCCTCCATCAGCTACTCCTCCTTGTTGCTCCAACTTTACCATTTTCCCTTCCTGTGCCACCACCTTCCATTAGTCCTGCCCATCCCCTTTCTACTTTTCCTCATTTGCTGATTCTCCTGTTTCCACCAGCTGCTTCTTCCTCCTCCATCATACTCACATTGTTGTCTTCCTCACTTACCCTTCTTTACCACTTTCTCCTCCACCTCTACCTGCTTTTCTCTTAATCCATCAAAGGGCATTAAAGGAAAAGTGCATTGAGGCTGGTTAGTGGTTAAATATGTGACTTCTACAGGCATTTAGTCTTGCTGTAATTTATTGTCTTTAATGATACTACATCTAATTTATTTGCAAACATGAAGATGATGAACACGAGCAGCCTCTAAGTGTGCAGTTTTGGAGATGTTAAAAACTTTCTCCTGACACCTGGGGAGGAAAAAGAAGAATAATGATGTGAGGATGATATTTGTGAAAGTAGATGCACTCTGCTCTCGCTCAGAGCATGTTCATTCATTTACGATAACCATGCAGCGACCGAGTGACTCAGAGCAGGAGCGTCGCTGCTAAGTGGAACAGAGAAGGGGAGCAGCTGGGCGAAATTCACCTGCCACTTCCAATGTGGATCAGAAATTGCACTCACACCAGCAACCCCTCTCTGACGGTGGGAAAAAAAATCAGGGGAAACAGGAGGACAGAGTGTGCTGTGGCCACACAAATCACAGACAGTAGATTGAAGGGAGGGCAGTGATGGAAATGGGAAATGGCCACATTCTTTGAGAAGGTTTCATGGTCTACTGAAGATGCAGCAATGAGTGTAACCCACTGATATACAGCAACTGTAAGACTGAAAGAAACCAAAAGAGTGACTTATTCCAGTGGTCTTTGATTAAGAACTTTATACTTTATAATTGTCAAAACATAGTTTTGTTCCAAACCAATCTCCTTTAAATTACATCCAGAGCCGTATGTATGTAGGTGGTTGGTTGGATGGTGGGCAACTTTGACACGTATGGTTTGATTTTAAATCACTTTGGTTACGGCTTGGGAAAGATCATGGTTTTAATTAGATATAGCCTCATACTGCAAACGTGTCATGCTTCAAGGCGCTGTTGACTTTTTCAACATTTAACCAAGACCGTGATCTTTCCCGAAACTTAAAGGAAGTGCTTTTGAAGTCCTAAAAACAACCATTACAAACATGTTTCAGTAGCTAGTCGCAGATGTTGTACTGCACGAGCGTATATTGTAGGGGGGAAAAATTAAATACCTTGTCAGTGAATGTTTGCAGATTCAGTCAGTATGAAGATTTTGCGACTAGGCAGAAACAGAATTACATTAAAATGTTTCATCATTATACTAATTAAAAAACATAATTTGTATGTCATTATGTTTCTCTTAAAATATATTTATTATTGCAAATGAAACAGTATAAGTATAATATCCAGATATGATTGGTATATTCTGTTGTATAGTTCTCTGAATCCTTACACACCTACGTTAAAAATGGAAATGTGATATTTCACTGTAGCACAACATTTTGTTCACTTCCTGTATAGTTGATCTCTTGCATTAGTTGCCAAATGATGTAAATTATACATTTATATACAACTTTACATTTTGCTATGACAGGTATGTCATTAGAAATTACGGACTTACTGTATGTCATACTGTAATTATCAGTATGCTGCTCTATTCCCTTCCTTGTGAAAACTCAGTGCCCACTGTTCTCTCGGTCTTCTTGGCACAGTTTGCATCTGCATGCAATGACTCTTTGCCTCGCAGGGAGGCAGTGCTGTGTCATTCTCACACTGATGAGAGCCACAGAGAAAAGGCCTGCATTTGAAAAAGTGATAACAGATTGGTAATATACAAGATATAATATAGTCATACATAACCACAAAGCTGCTCATTTTACACGGACACTCCCCTCCATCTGTGACAGGGTCTTGCAGGACAGCCAAACTTCACCACCTCTGAGCCCATCAACATGATGTGCACTTTGTCCAGCATTTCCCAAAACACAGGCTTTGTCAATGTGAGACTAGAAGAATGAGGACATGCCGCAGGTGAGCTAGGATGTTGGATACCTGAAGAAGAATGTGCTGGAATGTCTTTTTGATCTGTGGACTTTGGGTTCAGGGTGAAATTGTGTTGAGAGAGAGAGAGAGAGAGTGAAAAGTAATTAAATATGCTGTACTGAATACTGTATACATGCTGTAAATATTTGGAAAAGCCACAGACAAAAAGATGAACAGTAAAACAGACAGGTAGACAAAGAGCTATTGAGAAAAACAAATAGACAGTTGGCTGGCCAGTCAGTCATTCAGACAGACAGAAGGGACATACTTCATCATACACAGACAGAAAGTCGAGACAGACATTATGCTCATACAGAAGAGAGGTCGGCCAGTCAGATATGTATGACTGATGGACAGCATTGTATAATTCCTACACAGACAGACACACTAACAATCCAGCAGACAGACATGCTGATCTCCACACAGACAAACTCGCGAGATAGGCGAGCAAACACTGTGCATCCCAGATCAGTTCATTTTAAAGGTCCACAATCCGGCAGGCAGCAGCTGGGACTGGCCATCAGGGAGAGATGTGGGGCCACGCTGCCCCAATATATCCATGCAACATTAATATTTCAAAATTGTTTTTCTGGGAATTTATAGTCTGGCCAGCTTGTGCAGTTGGCCTCGATCACACACAGTAACTTAAATGAAGCCGTCAAGGTTCATGTTTTTGTGTAAGATGATGATTGTTTTGCATTTGCTGGTGTGTATCAAAGTTTAAACTGCAACAACATACATTAAATCTCAGAGCTGGTATCTGTGGTGTCTTTATGCTTGTTCAATAATTAGTTTGTTATAGTGTCTATGTTTCAAAAAGCTGGTTCTGTAGGTCCTCTATCTGTCTGTCTGTTTTTTTGTTTGTCTCCCTGAATGCTAATAGAATGAAAATTACAATACCTGTAAATTGCAAAGCCACAGGACTGATTCATTTAATTTATTTTCCAAAAATAGTTGTATTATTATATAATTAGTTATTATTTAGTTAGTATCTTATAAATTATACAGACTGAACTAGAATTCATGATGAAATGTCAAATGAGAGGTGGTATAAAACAGCAACTATTGGCCATAATTGATGATCTGCCAATTCAATTTGTCCAACCACCAGTACAAACCCAAATATATTAAATTTACTATCATATATGACAAAGAAAAGCTGGAACCAGGAAATGTTTGGCATTTTTGCATGAAATATCACTTACAATGTGTATATTAATAATGATCAGTTATAAAAACAATTGCTAGTATAGTTAATACTCTAGTATGAATGAATTAAATACTTCTTTGAGAAAGTTAACATCTAGAAGTTATATTTTAAAACAGCCACTTACTTTATCTGGTCACACAATACTAACTTTAAGCAATCTGAAAGATACTTCTTGGCGTCATGTCTGATTAATTAAGACTACAGTCACCTCATTATCTAAACATTGACAAGACAAAATAGGCTATTATACATGCAGTTTGTGGTCAGTGTGGTTGCCAATAAGCAGGAGCTGCTGTGCGCCGTGACGCGCGCGTGGACAGAGCGAGGAAGAGAGAGAGAGGGAGAGATCTTATCTCTCTACATCAACTAGTCAGTCTCCCAAAACACAAGAAACGCTGATGATATTCATTGAAACCCCCTCTTCGCTTCCGCCCTCCAAACTGACTTCATCGACGCGCAAACTTCCAGCAAACGTCCAGCATGAGCGGAGAAAAACACCATGGATGTGCCACATGAGGCGGACCAGAGAAACTGAAGCCACCGCTCAAAGTTTGCCGGCAGAAGCCGACGTGACACTGACTGAGCAAACACACAACTTTACGCGTGTTTTTCTGCTTTCCTAGTACTTTTTGCTTGTCGTCTGCCTGTTGGGATTGCTTGGATTCCGCGGCGTGTCTTTATATGTTCAGCCGAGGAGACGTGTAGTTTTTCAGGGTGGTCCGCTATAAGGAAGGTGACATGCAGGTTCTCGGTTGGACCATAGTCCTCCTCTGCCAGTGGATCCTGCAGAAGGTGAGTTTATTATCGTCCTGAGAAGAAAAACCTTGTTTATATCCAGCTACAGAGGTGTGGGTTGTTTGCGTTTGGAAACACTTGCCTTTTTTTGAAGGTCAGTTTCCTGGAAATCACAACCTGAAAAACCCAGATGCAGTAACGTTTTAGTCGGCTCACAAAAAGATTTTTATTCAGCTCAGAGGCAGCGGGACCTGGAGATTTTATAGTTTCTTTTGAATGTGCCGTATTTCAACTGTAGCCTGTCTGCGGCGTCTCCAGGAATCTTTGTTCTCTGGAACTTGATATAAAGTTGTCTTTATATGTTCACAACACGTTTTTATACTGCAAACAAACCCAATTTCTATGCTTCATTTTGTTTTGTTAGTTTGAAGAAACGGCGACTTTTGCCCGATCTCCAAACGCGCAGATTTCTGCTGTCTGAGCGTTTTCCCCTTTACTCCCAGTTAAGCAGACCCCGTTATCTATTTATCTATTGGCGCTTCCAGCAACTTCCTCTAATTTTCTTCAGATGTTAAACACGCCCGTGGCTTGCTTTATTATCTCGGCATCGCTGTGGCAAAGAGTTTGTACGCCTAGTTTGGCTCTGATACTGCTGCAGCTGCTGATTATGTGTGGTTAAATGCGTGCGTGCGTGGATGTGCGCGCGCACTCATCTTTGGCTGCTTGCGCATTATATTGGTGAGTGTTTTCCTGCTTTATACAGTGACAGCAGTAATGTAGTTATTATATACAAACATCCACACATAACAGAATACAATACAACAGAATACAATAGGAGGCTGTCTGTCCCAGCAGATACACACCATCTGTACTCAGCATGTCTTTGGCCTCAGCAAGAAATGAAAGAGAATAAAAACATGACCTTTCACCATGATCCTCCTCTCCTCCCTCTTCCTCACGTTGGACTCCTTCATTTTCCACCTCCTCCCTGTTCCTTTCCTCTATCTTCTCCTCCTCTTCCATTATGGATCATTTCACCCCACACAGAGTTTCATTAAAAACCACTTACTGGATCTTCAAATACAGTTGTAAATCTTGTTGAGGTTTGAAAATGCTCTTTAATCTGCCATTTTTATGAGGCTTAAAAAGCAGCCCTGAAAGTGTAAAACAAACCTTATTAGCAGAGGAACATCACTTGATTCAAGTGACAAACCGTAGTGTTAGGACTGTAAAGAGCTGAGGGGGCGGATGGGTGGGGGACCTTCACTGCTAACAGATTTGCTTGCTGGCCCACAGTAACCAGCATTTTCTCCAAACACAAAGACATGGTGGCGGAGGGTAGTAGTCGCAGGGGGTAGTGTTTAGTGTGTGAGTTTTTAAAAACATCCTGTTGGCTCCTGGCAGATTGGGGTTAGGTTGTATTGTGACAGGTAATAACACCTACGCTTCTTTTGAAGATTGAATGCAAATCGTTCCTGCTCCAAAGTGGAACTGCTATGCCTTTTCTGCATGAGAGTGCAGCTCGGGTCCAAGTACAGTATTTAGATCATGCTTTAATGTGCCATTTGAAATTGTGTTAGATCTTTATTTTTTTTCGAGGAGTAAGTGGGGACAAGAGTCTTGTTTGTTTTCAGTGGGGTGTAGATGACACAGTGATTTGGCAGACATAATATGACAAGGTACATCCTTGGGAGCACTATTAGCTTGAGGGATTAATAAGTGAAGAGGTAAAGGAGGCGGTGAAGAAGTAAAGGCAGGTGAAACATTCGCACAGAGGGGAGGAAAGAGAGAAGAGAGGAGACGGTGAAACAGAAATCAGCGGAGGAGAAGGAATGAAAGATAACATCAGTCAACTGTCTAACTTAATACCATGGTCTCTTTGAGCAAAACCCACCCTTAGTAACCATTTACAGTAACTTAGAGGCCTGTTCAAGTACATATGTAAGAGCATAAGTGAGAGAAGAGGTGGAGACAGAGAGGCAAAGTGAGAAAGGACGAGAATCCTTGCATAATATCTTCAAACTCTATCATTCATATTTTCTGACTGCATTAAAAATGTAAAATTTATTTTATCGATTGTTTTCCATATGTGCTTTTTAAAAACAAATGTGTGTTTACATACTTGGATGAGAACATTTTGTGGGCGGGTTCTCAGATTTGGATAAAAAAAAAGAATGAAAGAAATTGCTTTTCCTGCATATGATGTCCAATGCTGCAATATTGTAATTTTTTCCACCTTGTGCTTTGAAACGATATCTACACTAACAGCACTACAAAAGAAGAAAAGATGTGTGAAAAGCTTCTTTGCTGTTCTATGCTCCCAGTAGGAACAATAGCATTAGTCGCCATCTCAACCTGACAAAATCCTCTTATCTCCCCCCATAAAACAACTAGCTATATACCCCAGGGATATTACAGCAACGGAGCCACTTTAATTTCATTACATATAGTCCCACTTCCTTTGCAATCATGTCTCATATATTCTGCATATCTTTGCATTTCAGTACAGTCTTTGTCCTGGTAAAAATGTGTGTGAGAAGTACAACTGTGTGTGCTTGCATGCCTCATGTTCGTGCTCACATGTTATGCACTTATTCACGCCATTGTGGCAAAAAACTGAGCCATCACAATAGCGGGATCAGATTTTTTTTCCCACCACGGATTTAACAAGGTGGTTGGTGGGTTCCCCTCCCACTCATTGTCTTTTTGTTCATCCGTACGTCCATGGATCATCTCAACTGTAAACCGGCCCAGTTTCAACAAGCAGGAGTGGTCTGTAATCTGTGCAAATTATATTCTCTGTTCGCAAACCGATTAGATATGTAATCTGTTGAATCATGATGACAGAAGCAATCACATTACTGTTATATCTACTGCCTCTGAAATTGTTCCCAGAGATCAAAGCGTTCTTTAACCTAAAAAAAATGGCACAGATTCATGCAGTTTTTTTATGGATTCTAACATGGTTTGCTTAAGGTTAAGCAACGATCCATTTTTATTTAATTTGTTTTCTCCCCTTTCAACAGCCCTATGCCCCATTTTGACAACCCATTACTTTTAAAATGAGCTATCACTTGCGTGGTGCAGTGAACAGTTCCACCTCAGGCTTTGTATCAGCCTTAAGGAGAGGGGAATTTAATTTTACTGTATGATGATGTCATAAATTTTAGACTAATGTAAAATAATTGTACAAGCATGAGGATATGTAGGACCGCAAACTTAAACATAATTGCTTTTTGTAATTTTAAAGACCAAGTTTGATATGTATAAAACTGTCTCATAACCCCACAACTATTCTGCTATTTCTAGATCCTGTTATAATAATGGAGACAAACAGCAGACACAAAAATGAATACTATGGTGCCAAAACTCAATTACAAACAACATGTGCGCACACTGTTTGACTGACAGCTTGACTGCACCTGAAGTTCCAAGGAAGGGAGCATTATGTCTGAAATTATTGATAAGGCGATGGTATTATTTTTAAGGCACAAAGGAAGAGAAACCCAGAACATATTCAGGAGCTGCTGCTGCTCTCACTGCCTAACGGGCCTGTTGCGGGTGTTTGGTTCTCTTCTCTTCCTGTTGGGGCCACCTGTTCATGTTTGATATGCGGATGTTAAATGTGTTCCTGGGTCAGAGACTCAGCTACTATTCATGCATAGTAATAGTTTTATCACTATTTTTTAATTAATCTCAATTGTGATTTCAGAATGAATCCACACCAGTGTTGGGAGTATTTAGATCCTTTACTTGAGTAAAAGTAGCAATGCCACACTGTGAAAATACTCTACTACAAGTTAAATTCCTGCATTAAACTATTAGTTAAGTATGATTGGCAAAATGTACATAAAATTTCAAAAGAAAAAGGATTAATAATGTAGAAGACTTACCCCTGTGAGCATTACTCTATTATATATTAGATTATTTTCACTGATACATTCATATGAAAAAGTTCATTTAAATTTTATATACATTTGGGTTGTTTAATCTATGACAGTATATCATATTTTATAAACTGATGTGTGAAATCTGAAATTGTATTGTTGTGGATTAAAAAGTACACCATTTCCCTCTGACATGGAGGCAAGCAGAAGTATAAAACAGCATTAAATGGAAATACTAAATTAATGCTAAATACTTAAATTCGTACTTGAGCACAGTACAATTGTAAATGAGCTTAGTTACATTCCACCAACGATTCTCTCTCTCTGAGGTAGCTGCCACACAAAATGAGCTGCAGTACGTTTTTAGAGGCATGCACATTACCTGGTACTTAGACATTTTACTGCATAAGTCCCATTTTTTGTGTTGTTTGTGTTTCATGTGATGGCCTTGTACCGTCCCCACAGCATGGGAATTTGCATTCAAACAGTGTAACGCAACAGTTCTCAGGCTTAATTAATTTCAAGGGTTTTGTATTTTCTGTCACTTTCAGTGGAGAGGAAACAACATGTAAGGTGAACAAAATGTATTCTGGCCTCGTATCATCTACAACCCACCACTCTTCTCTGTGGAGCCTAACTGCTAATAACCAGAGCTTGTAGCTGGGAGAAAGACAAGAGGATAGTGAATCCTGAGTATAGGATCATATTCATGTCCAAAGTACATTCATTAATTTTTAAAAAGCACAGGCTTTGTGTGTGAGAAACACACGTATATGAGGGTATGGTGAGGAAAATGAAGGAGTGGACTTTTCATGCACTCTTGAAAATAAACATGACACATTAACTCATTTGCCAAATTCCAGATCTTCTTCTCATTTCAGCTTCTATAACCACCTCCTTTCTAAGCCAGTCTGGAGCAGAGCAGATGTGTCTCAAGTTTAAATGCTGAGACACATCACACTCCTTCGGGCAGACAGGAAGCAGCTGGGAAAAGGGGCTTTGGTGGTGTTTTCTCTGTCACATATGCAACTGGCTTTGGAACTAATTTTAGGGTTATGTATTGAAACATCTTAAAATAAAGACCAAAATTTAAAATTTAGGCCCAGTCTGGGCCCACTGACCCACCCGAAATATGTCTTTTTGTGCTACATTTTGGATGCTGTCACACTT